CGATTTTCCCAACTGCAGTTTTATTCTGAGACAATGCGGTGATGAGGGGATGACGAGAAGAGGAAATTCTCTGCTTTCCAGACTGCACAGATCCCCTTTTTGACAGGGAGGCAAGTTTCTCTTAAAGTAAAGTAAACTACGACTCGTGCTGGTGCCGGTATGCATATGTGCAAGTCAAAAGTCTAAAGATGAGACGAGTTGGCAGGGAAAAGCTAGTTTAAGGAAGCGTATTTTCATTTAATTTGCATACCTTGACTTTTCATTTACTTTAAGAAAAAGACAGGTTCGATTTAAATTGGGGAACGCATTACACAGTTGGTTACGTAAGAAGAGTGAATCCATGGAATGCTCATTACTTCGGAACATTTCAATTTCTAGTGGTGTGGAGGAAAATTTGATAAATTTTTGGCTGGAATTTTAGCTTTGTTATATGTCGCGTGAAGTTGACATTTAGAAAATTGAGTTCTTAACATATAAGTTTTTCGGTCAGAAGTTAGTTAAATATAGATTTTCTTGTACTTATTATTAGAAGTTTCTGCTAAAAATATAGAGTTTGTGTACATATGTACAGAACATTCTAAAAACTTAGGATTGTAATATTTAAAAAATAGCCACTAAAATTTAATACAAATTTGTGGAAATATAAAGGTAAAGTAGTGCATTTAAAAGTTCGGGTATTTCTAATCAATGACGAATTCACTCAAATACTTGTGAACTACCAAACTCCGTAAACTTACAAAAGTTACGTAAGATCGCAAACGTTTCGGGCCGGTTGTGACATAATTTTGAGAAAGCTACGCAGTTTAAACCCATCTCATTGAATGTTAGCAGAAAAAATATTTGCATTTCTATACTTCCATCTAAAAGATAATGCTCCTGTTCAACCCAGAAGGTAAACTAGGTCGGATCAAGTAGCAAAAAGAGAAAGCAACAGACAATTCATTAACGATGTGCACTTTTTGACTAGAATTTCGACTTCCATGTCAACAAGATGCATTAACCAGTATCCCCCTCAACTCGAGGACATGCTTTTTGCACGCCCTTAAAAAAGAGAGACATTAGAATTGCACAAGGTGTCTTTTATTCGCTCCTCGTCGTCCTTCCCAACTGGTTGACATGATCATCGTCCCTTTGTTTCAGCTGCGTAACGATTATGGTCATCGTATGCAAAACTTTTGTGAGATTTGGGCAGAAAAAAGAGAAAGAAAGTATTGTTGTAATTGTTCTCGTGAAAAAAAATTCAAAAGGTCATTTCAAGGATTGAATCGCTCGAAAAATGTGATATGACAGGCAGCATAAGGTGGAACATTTACTGGACGAAATCATATTTAATAGTGTTCAAATATTGGGTAAATTTTAATTCAGTATTCGCTTTTGTATGGGATACTTATTTACTAATGTAGCAAATTTATTTATCGATGGGGCAATTTCGTTTTAAATTTTAATGAACACGTGCAAACATGGGCTCAAAAAATATGTCTAATAAACAATTGATAAAGCAAGTAATGCATATGTATTCCGACCCACAATTACCCGTTCGTTTTTGTAATGGATGGCACCATCGTACATGTAAAGCGCATTTTGAGAAGCTGCACAGTTATCGTGTCGCTAGCAAGTTTTTAGATATTGCTTAAATAAAACCTCTTATAGATTTTCCTCGTTCGCCACCGTCCTGTATTTATTATGAAATACTTTGTTCCATTAAATTATCAGATGTACCATGCTTTTTGTTCAGTTAACAAAATTCTGAAGATGTAACATGCGTTTAAAAAATAAGTTCCAGTTTACATCTGCTCAATCTAATTCTAAGCGAATTAGTATCCCAGTATTTCATTTTGCTAATGATATAAGTCTGGAGTAGCAATTTTAAAACGAAAAATATCGAAATTATTGTTTGATTTTTTCACCTGGTTTGTGGGTTTTTAATTCCAAAACCAATATTTTTATATTTTTTGCAGGAACTTACAAAATAGATTGTGAATATTAAATTTCTGTCGGTGTCATCTCGATAATTTCGAAAATTCTTGCACGTTTTATTTGTGCTAATAACACAAAATCGACCCAAATTGGTTCTCATATTGCATCCTACTAAAATATTAAACAGCATAAAGCTGCATATTCAGATTTGCATCTGCATGGCAGAATTCGGGGCTGGTTTTATTGGGCAGGTTGTCTGCGAAAGTGGGAGACGACGAGGTGGTCGCGGTGGCCGTAAAAACCGCAAACATTGTCAAAATGTAATTGCGTCTGTGAATATGAAAGAGCAATTTAATCAACCGAAAGAAGTCTGGTGAACACGGGGAATTGGCATTACATGAAATTAGCCCCTCATTTGAGCACTAAATGCGGCAGATTGTGACAATAAATCAAAATATATGGCTAATTAAGGTTAAAATATGTATGAAAAGTGAGACTTGTGTGTCTCTGCTGTATTAATAATGGGACAAAGAACAGGGCTCCACACGGGGCAACGACACTCTGGAAAATGAACGAATAAAACGTAAACATGACCACATTTGTTACAAAATGTATCCAACTTGGCAATAAATCGTGGTCAAAATCAAAATTTAATGGGGATAAAATATTTAATAAAACAAGTTCAAACAGACAACACAACTTGTCCAAATTAGTGAAAATATGTATCAAATTTGTACCAAAATACGATTCCCAATTTACAGATAACAAGTTACCTAAATAAATTATAACCCATCGGTAACAATCATCCTGAAGAAATTTGTAAACATAACGTTACCTCATTTTTTGTTTCTAGAATATTACCAACTTGGTAACAAGTGACTCATTCCTGGCTAAAATTTCATCCCCGAATTTCTAAGAGTGTCCTATTCGAGGTGAGACTGAAGGAAGGAACGGAACTGAGCGAGACAAAGAAGGAGAGGATAATTCAAATATGATCCCGATATCCGGGGGCAGTATGCCAATTACAGGAAGCCCTCGTTCTGGTGAAAGTGGGAGAAAGTCGTGGGGATTGCCACGACCGAAATCGCGTTTCCACTTCAATTCATCCCACCCAACGGACGGGCCAGGTTTTGTTTGCTTGCCTTCTCTCTCCGTCCTGGATGGGTGAAAGTAAATGAAACGCGTTTCTGCCTGCATTGCAGTAGCGTGATCTGCATCTCGCTTTCTCTTTGGCGAAAGTGAGGCAGTTATCGAACCAGGTATTATTTTGGGTAGGCTATTTTATTTATTTATTCGGATTGTTGACCTTTCATTACAGATGAGCGTTTGATAAGTGTGTAAGTTCGTATTTGTACGAAGGATTTAAAGAGTTGGACAATAACGTAAATAAATGAGAATTTAAGTGATCGAGTAAGTGAGACTTTTTAAAATTCAGGCTGTTTTGAATATTTATCCGATTTGATTTCATTTTTGACCATGTTTTGTAATCGCGTTAGTAAAATTTGTCAGCAGTTTTAATGGTTATTACGAAGTTTGCTAAATTCGACGCCAGTAAGAAAAAATAGATACATATATAAATCTAATATAGTCAGACAGGTCTGGATTTCTCTATGTTGAACTTATTACCGTTGAGTATTAAAAGAACTGATATGCCGGTTCGTAAAAATTTGTTACCGATATGACAAAACTTTAACACTGATCTATTACTAAAAAACTTTAATTGTAAATGCAGCTTAAATGAATACCGCTTGGTATTATTTAATACTGGATTTAATAGTGTATGCACTTACAAACTTGTACATAAATATTCTGCTTAGAGGAAGTATTTTGTTAGGATAGTCAAAAATTTCAGAAAAGTGTTTCAGAAATTAACACCTCAATTTTTTAAGAGTGTGCCTATTCATTCTATAATTACGAAATAATTAGCTAATTTTCCCACCACAACAAACCCACCTACTTGCATTGCTGCTACGCAATGGAATAAAATTAGCTGCTGCTAGAAATACATAGGCCACGTGCTCGACAAACAAAGAAAGGAATGTGTACAAAGGTCGCCTCATTTCCAGTTATTTTGCTTCCCTGTTATGAAAACAGGAGATGAAAACAGATCGAGAAATTCAGTTCCGTAGATAATGAAGAAGAGTGAAAGTAAATTTATCCGGTTGTACTCGCACAGGACCCCGCATAAAGTATGTGATCTTCATTTTTTTGGGTAAATTTAGACCCGTCTCAATTTATAATTAAGTAGCAAAGGGAAGATTGTATGCTACCTTGACCTCGCAAATGGATGACATTTTTTAAGCTGGGTCCCATTTCTTTGCTGAACCGTCTAGCTTTCGAAGATGTAACTTTGTAGATTGGGAGAAAGTTAGTTTGGAGAAAGTTGAGCCAGAAACTGAGCGAGCAGGAGGTGTTTTAGTGGAGGCAATTAATATTGACTTAATCAGAAAGGAAAATCGGACGACCTCTTGTTCCGATGAACTTCGGAATGGTCGTCTGTGCGGGATGTGCGGGAGAGATGTCATCCATGCCAAGGTTTAAGATGTAGATATTTTTGCAACAAAACAGTCACCGATTTGGTAACAAGTATATAAGTTATTCAACACCCAACTTTGCTTTGAAATCTATTCCAAGGTATCTTGACCAAAAAAATTGCCAAATTGTTCATTTTTTTGTGGGTGTGCCAAGTTTTGCAAATATTTTGCAGATTATTGTCGTCAAATCGGTAATGTTTGGAATTTTTGCCAATTTTTAGAAATTGCCAATTAAGATAGTAATAACGATTGTACTTGAGACGGACTGGTTGTAATAAATTTATAATATTGGGAAAAAATTGTTATAATCTTGCAGACTTTGTTTCATTTTGTCAAAAGTGGAAATTACTTGATTTGACGCCGATATTTAAATAAATAAGTTGTGATTACATAATAAGTGATCACGCAGATCATATTGGAATGTAAATTTTAAGTAAATGAGGTATGTAAATATAAAACAAATGATGACACAGGTTAAATTTTGGCGTATAAAATTTTTGAGTTTGAATTTTAAAATCTTTCGCAAAACTAAAAATGTATTGCACTCACCAATTTTTTGTAGGGCAGATTGTTTTTGAAAGTCCAGTATTTTTTTAGTATTTGTTCTTTGTAGAAGAAAGTTTCTCAATTTTGATTTCTTCTCAAGGAGGGTTTAATTGTCCCGGAATTTTCCTGCAAGTAAAGAGGCAAATAATTCTTACCAGTTTGTAATATGGTTTTGGACTAATTTGATAATAATAATTATTTTAGACTTTGTTAATTATAATTGCATTTTTAGCGGTATAATTTTTATACTGTGATACTCAAACGTGTTATCGCTTGGTCATTTACTAAACCAATAAGTAATGATGAAACGGTTAACAAACAACCGCCAAGTTCTATTTTAAGGATATTTATCATGAAATTCAAATGTAAACCTGTGCTAGAGTAAGTACAACCAAGAAATCGCCAACTTTTTTTGCAGTCAAGTCGGAAATAACGTTTATAAATCACTAGATTAACTGCATATTTATTTATTTGTAGGTAAGAAGACGTGTGGGTAGAAATGAGCGAAATCTTTTATGCACAGTCTCCCAGCGAGATATTTGGATTTGAGAAACCAATGACAGAAATTATGGATGGAAATATTATTCACAATCAAATTGAGACCTTGGCTTAAATAACTTTCAGTCCTGCGAATCAATTTTGATGAATTCGTCTCATATTCGGGAAGAAGAACAAGTTGGGTTTCATATTATATTTTCGTCTAAAGAAATGTGGATCCGAAATGCATTCTAGGAGTCATCTTAAATTTTGAGTAAATTCTAAAATTTTGAAAACATTGTAGTTTAATAGTATTTCGAAATTTGAAAAATACTCAAGTGAAACATACAATTGGGAGGAAATTTTTACAATATTTTCAAACTAACAAGATTTAATAAAATACAGTTCACTTCACAATTCAGGATAATCAATCTATTAAATTTAATGTTACTAAAATTAGTAATAACATTAATTTCGGGAGTTTAGTGTGACAAACGTCTTAAAAAAATTGAATAAATCAAGAACTTTTCCTAAATTTAAATCGTTCTAAAATTAAACACACACGCCACAAAAGGCAATTCTTAAGCTTGACTCGGTACTAAAAATAATTTGACCATGGTTTTGAAACTTCTGGAGAAAGTAACTTATTGGCTGAAAGAAGAGAAACTGTTAATCCGTAATTTAGTGAGTGGTTTGGTTTGTCTCTGAGTGTAATAAAAGTTTTTTGATGGGGGACGAATTGAGATGAGGTCGTAAGTCGTGGCGGGAAAGTATGTAACTTTATTCACACTTAGCGGTGCATATCGGAAGAGAGAATGGCTTCATTAAGTCGAGAATTGCCAACTTTTGGGGACTAAGTGAACTGTAAATTTACCTTAATTGTTCATGCAGTGTAGTCAAGCGAGGGGAGTATTAGTCCTTACTTTACACGATTTTGGGAAACTTAACAATTTGTGTATTTAGAAGGGAGTTTTTAAAAATAGCGGGAAAATAGTGGAAACCTTATCCAAGTCCAAAGAGTTTTAGAATTCTAGTAATTTTCAAACTCACATCTTATTAAATTTCCAAAATAATTTTTTTTAATTGGAAATGATTTATAAGTTTTTATATAAATTGAAGAATTACAATCTGCATCCGAATAAGCAAGTTAAATCGTCTAGTTTCGAATAAAATATAAAAACGTGTTTTTTTTGTGTAATGATTAAACGCCTTTTATAAAAGAAATTTGTGTATGAATATTTGTAAACTAAATAATTTTAGATTCTTCAAGTTCAAATAACTTGTCAAAAATCTAAATCAGACTAAATCCATCTAATTTTATCCCAAAAAATGAGGGCTGAATTAATAATATTGCATTGAGGGCAAGGTCCCCTGTGTGGATGTGATAACGAAAATATTTGAGATTCGCATATATAACCTCGCAATAATTTTACAAGACATGACCAAAACGAGATTCGAATTCCGTTGGGTCTTAGAAACTCCAGAGAGTGAATTTGAGCAAGATCAAAAGTTGACCTGGGGGATTGGACCGAAATGGTATAAAGTTTCCGCCAGGAATGAAACATTTCATCACATCTCGTGAAGCAGAGTGAGGGGAAATCCGAACCTATAATATTTTCTATCAATAATAATAATCGTATATTGGTTCCGTTATGAGGTGCACGCTAAATAATACGGTACGCATTTATTACCGGGAGGTGACTGGTGGACGATTTAGAAAAAATTGTTACCGCTTTAGTAATATATTATGTATTTCAGGGCCTTCAGTAATTCTGGTGGTAACTGGAATGGGTTTTTGAATATGGTTACATCAATTTTGTTACCACACGCTTAGAAATCCAGTAATCAAATAATACCAGGCACCATTTATAGGACTTTACCAAAGTGGTATTTTTATTAACGTCATGTAGTAATAACTCGGTACTAAAAATTTACCATATTAGTCGCACATTTTTACAAACCGGTATACTTTTAATACCAAGCGGTAGCAAGTTTAATACCGAGAAATCTCCCTCTCTATACTAGATTTCTAACAGTGCAGATTATTTATAAATAGTCTAACAAGTAAGAGATGTGAAACTCCTTCCTATTTTTTCTTGCTTCGTTTGATGACATGAAATAAAATAATATTTGTCATTTTTCTGACTGGGAATGAACTCGTGGGTTCTGAGAAATGTGAAATGCAAGCTAAGCGGATTTTAAAACAGGAAGAGGACGACTTTCCCTCTTCTTCTTCCAGGAAAGCGAGCAAGTGAAAGTATTCCCTCGTCCTCAACTTGCCAAGTTTATGTTTATTTACTCGTCCTATTCTCGAACTGGGAGGGAATACACGCTTAGAAATTTTGGAGGAAATTGTGTGATCAAGTGGAACATTTCCGGTTTTTGGTTTGGTGATATATTTTGATAAAAATGTTTGACAAGTGCAACATCTTTAAAACTTTTTAACAATTAGATAATTGTATTTTTACGAATCAATTATTAACGTCTAGAATAATTGACTCGTAAAATTTTATGGCAGATTCTTAAGAGTGGTTGCACACACCTTGCGTCTTGCACATTTGACTCGTGTGATGCCAACTGAACTGAACAACGTTGTTATCAAATCCATGCCTATCTTTAGTTTGAAGATGTACAGAATTTGTACAAGAATGTGGACCAACCAGATCAGAAATCGTGAAAGTAGGAGAAAAAGAAGAAGAAAAGTAAACTCTCACATAGATCGGAAGCTTCATGCATTCCGTACTGTGACAAAAATCGTGTACTCCATACTCTAACTGAGAATGAAGGTCTCCCAGTGTATGCTCACAGATTTTGATCAAACTCTTACCAATCGATGTCAAATTTAATTAATATGAAATTTGCAAAAGACACGATCTCTCAATGCTAAGGTTTGGCGGAGATATTTGCATCCAAAGAGGAGAAAATGGGCCCTAAAGTTGACAAATCTAACACTTTCCAATTTAATCCAATCCAATTTAATCCAATTTAAATTAAAGCTTTCTCTTGCAAATATGCCTTGAGCAATTGTACATTCTAAGTAAATTTGATTAAAATTCACTCAATTTTGAGTAAAATTGCCACCAAAGTAACTATTGAGTAAAATTTACCCTGACAACAGTAAAATTTACTCAAGGTTGAAGCATTTTTGCTCAACTTTGAGTAAATTTTACCTTTGTCAGGGTAAATTTTGCTCAACAGTTGTGGTGGTGACAATTTTACTCAACTTTATTTACAGTGTAGATAGTTTCGTTTGCAAATTTCACACTAATCAAATTTGTGCTCAATTGACACAATTTTGGTCAAAATCCGACAGCATACGCTGAGACCTCCATGAATTATGCATCCGAAGAGACTAAAGGACTCCGACGTATGCCTGAACTTTCCCCTTTTTTGACTTTATCTCCAATTACATTTTCCCAGCGAGGACTTTCTGCATCTTTAACGTAATATGACGACTCGGATGCGACTCGTACTTGGATGGAGGAGAAAGATCATGTTTTTTATCCTACATTTTTTTATCTCAAGTTATTTTTGCTTTTGCTTTCCTCGAGGTAAACAAAAATAGGTTTTACTTTTACTTGAGTATTTACGTAAAAAGAGAAGTTATGAAAATGCACATTTATTTTGCATGATTTACTTTACGTGAATTCCATTGCTGGAATAAGGAAATAGAGAAAAAGGTGTTAGTTAGAAGTAAAATGTGTCAAATTTATTTGGGAACTTTGATGTTAAATAATAATTTTGTACGAAATTTCATTAGCTTAAAATAAGTATTTTTGAGGCATTACCATAATATAAGACCTCATTAGTTTCATAAAATGGCCGAAAATTCAGATTTTTGTAATACTTTCCATCCCGAAATAATTTTTGGAAAAAACTCTAACCTCGAATAAGTTTTAGATGCTTTCTTTAACCATGCCTGGGACAGTGAATTTCTTTAAAATGATGTTTAGGGCTCATTTTTGGACAGAATGGAAAACGGATTGGTAATTCTGTGGGGAATGGGTTTCTCCACAGAATTACCGATCCGTTTTCCATTCTGTCCAAAAATGAGCCATAAACATCGTTTTTAAGAAATTAATTTTGTACCTGCTTCCCAGGCAGCCTTAATTTTAATTTGCGTGTACTACAGCACTATGGATTATACAGATTTACCCGTTAAATTCATAGCACTGTCAACTGTAAACGATTGAGTAACAAGTGTTGGTACACTTTAAAGTATTGGTAATAATGACTAAAAGTGAAAATTGATTTTACTATCGTCTAGTTTATCACCAGTTGCCATTAATTAATGTGTTAAAAACTTTATCTGATTTAAATTGTATTTGTTGCGGGTTGACGCCAGTTTTCCAATTCTTTAATTAGTGCAATATGAACATTTTACTCAATAGATGCAACAGGAAGTACATCGTCGTACTACAAATAGTTCTGAAAATACCTAAGCGTAGTCAATATTTAATTTTAAAAGGAGGTAACCGCACAAAAAATTCTCAATTGAACCTTTTTTCAAGCTACACCAGCGATTTGTATCAAAAAATCAAGTCAAAAATTAGGAGTCACATGACACTTATCTTTCCGTTTAATGGCCTCTTTGAACAAAAATTGAGCTGAGAATACATTCATAAACGAGATTAGCTCGCTATCACTTA